CGGTGGAGCTGGTGGGAGCAGCGTCGGGCCTTGTGTGAGAGAACCAGCCTCGGGAAGGGAAGGCAGCCTGGCCTCTGAAGAGAGAGGGCAAGTCGTTAAAATGTGGAGGATGATTGAGGTATAAAGGAGAAAGTGAAGGGAGCTCACATCAGCCTGTCTTGATTTCAGCAAATCAAAATTCTGCACACAGAAGGGAGCTTCAAGAAAGCTGTCAGTGATTCTTCAGCTTCTCTGACCACAGCCCACCTTCCCAACCTGCTCCCACTTTACAGTGAGAGTTAAAAGAGGACCAGAGAAGAGAAAAATTAAAATGACACAAAATTTTAATAGCCCTTGTTAGTTTACTTAGTACTGGTAAAAAGTCCTGAATAGGACTTAAAGATGAATGTTTTTGAAATTGAACCTTACATTTTCTGTGAGAACTAGAGAATCAGCTTTCATCCCTCCATCAGTTACTGGCCCTCCTCCCCAGAGAACCTCCAGGAACACCCTGCAGTGGTGCGAATCTCTGATCTACCCTGTCCCGTCCCCATGCCCCACAAGGCTGACGGAAGTAAGGCCTAGAGAGACTTCCACAGTCACACACTGCTTGTTAGTGGGGGGCCCTGGACTAGACCTAGGCCTCTTGACTCTGTATCTAGGGCCGGTTCTTCTTCCTCAACAAAGCTAAAAGTTCATGGGGAGGGAAAGACCTGAGAAGTAGGGAACATTTAAACTGCCGCTGTAGGGCTGGCTGTTTAGCTCAGTTGATTAGAGTGCCGTCTTGTAACACTAAGGTCAAGAGTTCAGATCCCCATACTGGCCAGCCACCCCCCCTCAAAAAAATAAATAAAAATAATAAACTGCTGCTATAGAGAAGGAAATGCATATTTGATAGATCAATCGAGGAAAGCCCTACTGGGAGGAGGGCTGTTTGAGGCCAGTTGCCTGACTCAGGCCAGGAAGCATGTGGTTCCCTAAAACTAAAATGGCAAGAGTCCAAAGGGACATGAAATTCTGGGAAGCTCCTGAGGATGGAACTGGAATGACCAGCCAATCAGGTCAGGGGGAACTGGACTGAGTGACCATGGGTTAAAAGGAGGGCAAAGAATGGGTTCTGTAAGAGTGGAGAGGGGATGGTAGGGAATGGTAACTACTTACAGGCAAGTGAAGTTAGAGTTCTTCAGGGGAGCTAGTTCTATGTGGTGATGCACACACACGAAGCTGCAGGGGAGAGAGGTGCAGGTATTTGGAGGAGGGCGAGGTGTTGAGTTTCATTTCTGCCACGAAGGAGGTGTCTTAAAGAATATGGCCTGGGTTTTCCTCAGAGATGAACATTAATATGACTTTGGCATTTTAGTCTCCAAATGTATGCGTTTGTCTCCTGTGGTACCTAAGGAAAAAAAGCAATTTGTTATTACAATTATTATAACAATGACAGCAACTGTCTATTGACTTTCATATATTATGCATTTCATGTGTATTACCTCATTAAAAATCAACAGCCTTGTGAAAGAGCTATTATTATCCCAACTCACAGATGAGGAGACTGGGTTCAGAGACCCTGGAAACTCACTCAAGACCACATAGCTAGTATGCAAGCTGAAGTCCATCTGACCTTCAAAGTTCGTATTTAAGGAAATCTTTCCCTGTAGACCATATTTCTCAAAGTGTTGAGAATCCTCAAGTCAACTCCAAGTTTACTCCTTGCATTAGAACGTGGGAGCTTGTTGAAAACACAAATTTTCTTGCCTTGCATTAGGGCCAACTGAAGGACAGTCTCCAGGACTGGTACCCAAGGATCTGTATTTTTAACAAGCTCATTAAAGGTGACTAAGGCAGACTTTAGTCCACTGAGGTTCAGAGATAACTTACTGGGAGTCTTTTGAAGCTTCATTGCTTTCTCTATGTTTCTTATTTTTATTGCCTGTCTGATTCCCCATTAAGTGAGCAACAGATACCCCTGATAGTCTAGACATCCCTGTGTGGCTGTTTCCAGGGACAGGGCAGGCATGGGAGAAGACACAGGAAGGCTGTGTCTTCCGTCCTGTCTCATCAATTCTAGTGCAACAAGGAGGGGGCGAACCCTGGACAGAAGTTCGTGTCAGCTAAGAAGGGAGCAGGTGGGTTAATGTCTGGAGTATGTGAAAAAATTCAGGGAAATGACAGAAAAGCCAATGGAGAATTTGGAAGGGTCATTAGGGAGTTATTTGTGTAGGGAGTCCTATTAATGAAAAGAATCATGTGGGGAGCAAGGAGTGATGTCACTATCCTCTCAGTGACAGAGATGCCAGGATTACTCAAAGCCCAAATACTTGAAGGCAATGAGAGGCCCAGAGGGACGACACCAAGCTAACTCCCATAAGAAAGGAGAAAGTCAGCGCAGCCTAAGCAAATAAAAGAAGCTCCTAGTCTGAAAAAGAATGTGTTAAACCTTACCGAAGGAAGTCAATTAAAATTCTCAATGGCCCACAATATGGGAGGATGCATCTCTTATCCTGAGAAGGCTTAGGGAGGTTTCTTACCATTCTGTGGAATGGCCTGTAGAAAGAATCACATCAGGGTCACCAAAATGTGACAAAGGTTGAGGCAGAGACAGCAATGAACTACTCGGAGACAATGACAGTTGCAACCGAGGGACTCGGAGTGAAGCAAGTTAAGGCTTAGAGTCAAAGTCCAGCAGATACTTATTATGAAAGTTGTGAGAAAAGTAAGCAGACAGAGATAAAGGAGGGGAGCCCCGGGGTGGAACCTCCTGAAATTTTATTTGAATGGACTATACTACATACTTCCTTGAGTTCAAGGACGCAGCAGTCTCCCACAGCCAGTGTTATCATCTTGAGAAACACTGTATGCAGCACGTCCCGCATGGGTACTTGATGCCACGTGTCTCTTGTGGCTGTGGCCAGAAGTCATGGCTGTCCTCTTAGCAGAACATATCACAAGATGTTAACCCTCTACAGAGTGAGACCAACTCTTTCTTCCCTACTGAATTAGGGGACTAGGAGAAGGAAGTGGCCAAACAAGGTAATGGTACTATCTGGAAGAAGCCAGGATTCAGTTAAAGGGGTGGCAATAGCTAGGGTTTTTCTCAATAGAATCAGAGATCCCCAGGCCTTGGAGACAGAAATCAGTCTGGAGTGGGTTTTGAGAGGTATGGAGCTGAGTTGGAGAGAAGTAAACTGAGGAAGTACCCCTAGGGAAGGTTTTTTTGGCTTAATCACAGAAAATAAAAGAGTCTGGGGACTCAGTGGCATGGCAAGAAGAGCTTAGGCTTGGCATCAGAGACACAGGTTCATACCTGGCTCTGCTTGTTGCTAGCTGTGGGACCTTGGACCGTGAGCTCTCTGAGCCCAGCTTCCTACATTAACAGATTTTTCAGAGGATGAGTTAGCTTATGTAACATGACTGGCAGTGTATATTAGACAAAGTATTATGTGTGCTTATGGTGGCCAGTACAGGGATCTAGGGAAAGGCATCTATTAACAAGTGGGAGAGGAAAGTGCTGGGGCTCTGGGTGTGTGTTCAGGGAGGCAGGAGGGCTATCAGTTGGCATGAAGGTTTGGCAGCAGGGTGAGCAGCTGCAGGTTTGCATCTGATTTCCTCCAGGTTGTGCTGTGACTCAACATCAGGGTTGGAGCTCTGGGCACTTCTTGGGGCTCTGCTGCAACCACTCCCTGTTGTGCTGGAAGTTTGTTTCATACTGGAGCCACTGGGTAACACTCTAGATGGACTTTTTGCTGCTGGCCTCATCAAATCCCCTACACTGTGTAACTGGGTCCAGAATGCTTATCTTTCTGCCCCCTCCTACTGTGTGAGGGGGAGGCCTCACGCAGCTCCATTTTAGAGGTGGCCATGAGGCCTGGAGAACTGAGAAGGAGGCAAAGTACTAGGCTGGGGACCTGTCACCATTCACAGCCCAAAGCAGGCATTTCCTGCACTTGGACTGCAAGTGTATTTTCTACATGCATGGATAGACAGAAACCTTGGCAGACATGTGGCACTCAGCTACAATTACCTCAAAATATAAATTCGTGAACAAAAACAACTAAATACTTTTGCTTTTAATTTGCATTCACTGTAGGTTGTATGCTCAAGACCAGCTGCACCTAGGGAACTAGAGTCACATTTCTGTGGACTCCTTGCGCTGCTTTTTATACTATTTTCTTTGCCCTAAAGGAAATAGTATTTCCCTTCCCCCTTCCCAGCCCCCACACCACCCCTTAGAGATTCCCCCTACTTAGCGAAAACCCCAACACTTAACAAGGTCAAGAGAAGAGTAGAAAAAGCTGAGATTCACTTCGGCTCTTTGCATTCCCTTGCCTTCCTCTCACAGGTTTTCTTCCACCAAGGGCTGGTGTACCAGTTGGAAACACTTTTCAGCATCACCTCCTCCCTTTTTTTTCCACTTGTCACCGAGGTCCATAATTACCAATCCTTGTAAAACCTATCAGTGGTTCCCAGGACGTGTGGGATAAATTCCAAATCCTATGTGCCTCATCAAACACTCAAACTTCTCTCTTGCTATGGCCCCCAACACACACGAGCAGTTGGCTTTGAGCTTGCCTGGCAGGATCCAAGAGCCCCCAGCCACTGACTCACAGCCTCCTCTGAGCACTTTGCATCAGTACCTTCTGTTTCTGGCCTGTGGCTTCTGGTTTTGTTGTCCTATGGTTCATTCTCTGCTAGTGTCCATCTAGCTACCTATGCATTTTAGGTAACCTGGGGAGTGGGTGAGATGATGAGATGTTTTTGAGGCTAGGAAATTAAGTTTCAAGAATATACTTTTCTGAGATGTAGGACTTGTAGTCTTGACTATAGGAAGTTTACTCCTAGCTCCTTGCCAGAGAGGCTGTTGATTCGCTACTCCCTTAACTCTTACTCCCATGAAAGATAGGTGCGAATGGACTTGGAGGAGAGAAGCTGGCCTCCTGGCAAGACCACTAGATGGAGAGAAGTGAAGTGGGAGGGGTGAGGCTTGCCCTGGCTGAGGGTCTGCATTTCTCCTTCTTCCCCTGCAGCCCTGGCCCACCACCGCTACATGAAGCAGGCTCAGGCTCTAGGTCCTCACATGATGGAAAAACCCCTGTACTGGGGGGTGGACAGGAGCTCCCAGGTCTCATCTTACCCAATGAACCCACTGCTGCAGCGAGGTAAACCTTGCCAGAGATTTGGGGTGGGGGAAGGCAGAGGGCAAGGGTAGGAGCATGGGCTGCATTGGGGCCTCCATAACCAATATGGTGGGTGTCTTCATGATTGAGGATGGGAGGGAGTGGAGTCAAGCTAAATAGTGTGACATTTTGATGTCCTGATTCTGAGGAGCATGCTCTGGGCCAATAGTTTTGCATATGCTGTCCTTGTTTCCATTCAGATTTGTCACGACAGTCCAGCCTTCCACAGATGCCAATGACCCAGACCGCTGTTCACCCTCCCATCACCAATGGTGTCCTGGAGTATTTGGAGAAAGAACTGCGGAACCTCAACCTGGCCCAGCCTCTGCCCCCTGACCTCAAAGCCAGATCTGGCCACCCCTGCAGCATGCTGTCCTCCCTGGGCTCCGAGGTTGTGGAACGCAGGATCATCCACCTGCCCCCACTGATCAGAGACCTGCCATCCTCACGGAGGACCAGTGACTCCTCACGCCAGCAGTGGCTCACACCAATTCCATCCAGACCGTGGGATCTGAGGGAGGAGAGAAAGCAACACCATTACTCTGATTTCTACCATGAGCTCCAGGACCGGGTGCCAAAGCCCTGGGCATTAGAGAGAAGGGAGCTGAACTACCCGGGGAGTGGAAGGCACCATGGCCCCAGGCTGAACAGGTCACCCTTACCCTGTTCAGACAGGGACAGCCTCAGCGATGGCCCCTCGTCCAGTGAGGCACACTGGCGGCCCAGCCGACCCCCTCTCAGAAACCACTGTAGGGAGAGGCCCCGCAGGCCCAGCCACCGGGAGAGCACCCAGAGGCACGGGAGACGCAGGCACCGCAGCTACTCCCCTCCCCTGCCCTCTGGCCTCAGTTCTTGGAGCTCTGAGGAGGAGAAGGAGAGGCAGCCCCAGAGTTGGGTCTACCGTCACCGCTCACGTTCCCCAAACTGGCCCGAGGAGAAGCCACCCAGCTACCGCTCACTGGATGTCATTCCAGTCAAGAATGGCAGGAAAAAAGGGAGTGTGGAGAGGCGCTCGGTGAGCCTGGGGCATCCTGCTGAGGGTCGGGTGTGGGCAGAGAAGACCCTTCCAGCCAGGTGTCACAGGCCACAGCTGACACAGGCTGCCTAACATGCCATCACTGAAGGCACCTCCTCCCTGTTTTGCACAAATTACCTTGTGGACTGGGAGAGCTACCTCTTGTTAGAGCTAAAGGGACTTAGTGAGTATAGAGTGCTTACAAAGGGCCTTCTCATCCTCAGTGTCACTTCAGCTCTCACACAGTCCCTTGAGGCAGGTCAAGCAGGGTCCCTCCGTTTTACAGATGAGGAAATGAGGCTCAGAATGATTAAGCACCTTGTGAGCAGCGGAGCTAGGACTTGAATGCAGGCCTTCATGGCTAAGGCTTTGTTTCCTTTCACAGCTGCCTTGCTTTATTCTTAGCAACCATATTTTCATACCCCAAATTAGGACACGTGGCCTATTCGTCAAGTCAGCGTGCAAGGCCCTGTTGTAGGAGGGTACTTCAAAAAGTTAATGTAAAAATAGAATTAGAAGATAATATGAATCGTTCCATGAACTTTTTGGATACCCTGCATATATGTGAGGATGAGGCCCTCTGAGACACCCCCTGGAGAGGATCCTTAAACTGATAAAAACAAAACAGAAAAACCCTGATATCCTAAATATGGGTCAAAACTTCAGGATTCTGTGAACAGGCAAGTACCAGTGGGTGCCAGACATAGCTTACCAGTCAAAAGGGAACACAGTAGGACGTAGGCCTTTGGGGCCTCTGGATATAGACCTTTTCTTTTCTTTCTTTTTTTTTTTTAAGATATAACTTTTATTTTTACAATTAATATACTCAAATGATAGTGTTTCTTTAGTGTTGCCACTTTACAAACAGTGTGCTGCTGTTGCTCAAAAACATTAATGAACTGCCTCAGAGCCAACCTACAAGCTACCCATGATATGCAGCAGGCTTCGAGCCAAGTTTCCAGAGTAGAGGAATACTATAAAAAGAAGAGTTATAGTCTCTCAGGGGCATTGGAGGATACAACTCTCATTTGGAAATGCATGTTCTGATTGTGATTTTTTAAAAAATCAGTCACATGCATGGTGTGTGCATAGGAGCAGGCCCCTGAGGAAAGCCACAGAGCTGCTTTTTGTAGAGCAGAACCTTGTTGAGAGAGCAATTTGTGAGGAAGGTAACAAAAGCCACCAGGCATTTCTGAAATAATCAATGGCAATTATGTCATATTCTCACAGATGTCCCATGAGAGATAAAGATCAGCAATAATGAAAATAGCTATCCCTTGCCACATGGTACTGAGTTATGGACGTCTTATTCAATATCTCATTTAATCCTCACGACAACCCTGTGAGGTTTGTACTGTGAGCCACATTTACAGGTGATACAACTATCTCTTCCATGTTACCAGTAAGAAAATTATATCCTGAAAGAAAACACAGAATCAAAGCTGGGACAACTACAGTTACTTTACTCATAGTGACTAAAACCATGTCTCTTCATGTGGACCTAAAATCTAAATCTACTTTCTTCTAAGTTAAATTTTTTTCTTTTCCTTATTTTCTTTAAGTTAAATCACATGGCTTCTTGTAGATGACAGGAGGATAAGAGAAACACCAATTATGTTCCAGACACTGGGGTGAGCCCTTTCCAAGCCTTATTTCATTTAATCCTCACAATAACCATGTGAGGCTCAGAGAGGTTGAGTAACATGCCCAGAGCCACCCAGCCAATAGGAAGTGAATCCAAAGATTGAACATGGACCTCAGACTCTCAAGCCTGTGCCTTTTCAATCACTCATGATGCCTTCTTAGAAGATTATCATTATTGGGGGTCAGTAATATTTTCTGGTGACTTTATTTCTTCCTCACTTTCTGAAAGTATTTCAGCTTTTTTTATAGACATGATATATGCAACAATTCTACCACAAGCAAACCAAATTTAAAATTGTAAAGTCACTCCTGAGAGGCAGATTTGTTCAACTTAATTTTAAGAGCCTCCATCGTTTTAGGTCTCTTTGAGATTATCTCCCAAAGAGTTATCACTTTATCACATTGAACTTTCTACTCGTATTCTGACAGTGACCAGAGGCCCAAGACCAAAGCTTGATTTGGCAGATTGGTTAGTTTGAAGGGTGTGGTATTTTGTTTGTAATTTAAATTTTTGAATCTTTAATGAGGCAAAAAGTCTCCAGGGCCAAAGTCTTGCTCTTTCCTCCTCTCCTTTGTGGGGCTGGATGTTTCCCACACAGGTTACTCCCCTCCTAGCTTCTGAAGTCATTGGATCTTGCAGCTAAGTTCAGACATTGAATAATACAATTGGGCCACTAGATGGTGATCTTTGATCATAATCACTTGAAGTTTCTGTTTACTCCTTCAGCTGACAGCATCACTAGTTTCTTAAATCAGGCTTTTAGCAGTAATAGCTTCACCACACTTTTTTTTTTTTTTTTTTTTTTTTTTTTTACAAAATACTGAGTATTCAGAGAAATATAAAACAAAATTTTTTTGGCTCACATGAAACCTTTTATCTCGAGAGTAATGTTTAGCAAATAGATATTATATGATCATTGCACATGGTATAAATGTACACAAATATCACATTATACTCCATAAATATAAACAATTGTCATGGGTCAATGAGAAAAAAAATTTAAAAGGAAAAAAAATTTCAGAGACAAAAGTAGAGTAAAGGTTACCAGCAACTGAGGGGAAGGAGTAATGAGAAGCTCAATAGGTACAGAGTTTCTGTTTAGGATGATGAAAAAGTTTTAGAAATAGAGGTAGTGGTTACACAGCATTGTAAATGTAATTAATTCCATGCCACTGTATGTTTAAGAGTGCTTAAAATGGCAATCCTTATATACATTTTACCAAAATAAAAAGATAGATACTGATGAGCAAGGGCTTCATGTAGATGATCTCATGGGAACCTGAAATAGGTAAGGACTATTTTCTGCACAGGGCCCATGAGAAAATGGAAGTTATTTTGAGGGATCTTCCACACAACTCCAGAGCTAGGACTCCCATTGAGATCTTCTCAATACAAGTCTTTTCACTCCACCAAAACTACAACCTCAGAAATATAAGAAGCATAAATTTCAAGCTTTTAACTCCAGTGGTTACAGACTGAGCGGCCCCTGTGTTCCTGGCCTCTTTCAATTCAATTATCTTTCTTTCCAATCTTGACCTAAAGGAATGGGCTGCCCAAGGCATTTCTGGCTTTTTCCAGCCTTGGCCTGTATACACCTCTTCTGATACACGAGAAAACCACTATGTTCTTTCCTCTCCAAGCTAAATTCAAATTTTCTGTAGACAATTTCAGCTTTTATCTTTTTTTCTTTACTTTTCTATTTGATAAAAAAAATTTTTTTTTCCTTTTTGTCTTTTATCGTGACCGGCAGCGGATTGCAACCCTCAGTGTCGCACCCGTAACGGACCGGGACCGGCAACGGGATTGCAACCCTCGGTGTTGCGCCCGCACCTCGCTCAGCCAGTGAGCGGCCGGTCTGTATGTGGGATCCAAACCCTCGGCGGGAGTGCCTCCGCACTCCCAAGCAGCGCACTGTAGCAGTGAGCCACCAGGCCGGCCTGCCAAAAATTTTTATATCAGATTCTTAATCTACTTTCAATATAATGTCTACTCCTTAATCATACCTAGGTTTTCCTTTAGCAAGTTCTGGACAAATTCCTTTTGCCCCATTTTATTGTTTTCCCTTTGTGTCAAAAAATATTTGTCCCACAGCATGCATTTTGATTAGAAACCATGCCCCCTAAAATTCACTTTCCTAATAAATTGGAAACAGATTGTTTTTTTGGGGGGTGGACAGCTTGCTGGTACAGGGATCAAACCCTGGACCTTGGTGGTGTTATGGGCACTATGCTGTAACCAACTGGGCAAACTGGTCAGCCCAAGGAAACAGGCTTTTTTTTCGGTTTTGTTTTTAATAGCAATATGAATGTACATACATATATGATGCCTTTTAAAACAGTATATCTTAGGACAGGTACATTATCTTCCTATTTCAAATAAGGCGAGGAAGGTCTCATTTCATGGACTACAACTGTACATATTCAAAACTTAAAATGATCTCCTATAATATGTAGTTAGAGAAATATGAGAAACATAAACTGTAGTTCTGACCCTCATCAAGTAAGTGGAAAAAGCCCAGAGACCAAGTGGAATATCTTCTAAAGAAGAGCCACTGAATTTTGTCAGGAAGAGGTAATTAGTGATCTTTGACAAATTACTTCAGAGAAATATTAAGGTGTGAAGCTAAACTTTTTAGAAAGGGGCTGGGAAGGAACGGTTCAGGAGATTATAAATAAAAGGAGAACTGGGCCATGTCTTCGTGAATGAATGGTAGAGGTGGACTGATGAATGGAATAGGGTACCCTTTTTCCAGTCTAAAGGAGACCTGAAGATGTTAAAAAACAGATCAAGAGGCAGAGTAAATAAGACTGAAAAATTTTTAGAAATTAAATGTATGAGAGAGGTTCCAGAGAGATAGGAAAGAAGAGAAACATAAGCCTGGGGGAAGAGACTGACTTCATGAAGAGTCAAGAATTATTTTTTAGGTTCAGATCTGCTATCCTGGCAGCTACCACTCAGTCAGGATTTATACAGAGTCAGGCACACCTTGTATGTTGTACGTATGCATAGACAGCAGATTCTGACTAACTGGTTTTTGTTGTTGTTGTTGTCTTTCTTCTGTTCCGCAGGAGAGAGAGAGCTCCCATAGTGGAAGGAGTGTGATCATTTAGTCACCAGGCACAGCACTACTTTCGTGGCTACTTCTTGGCTCCTGCGTGTCATCAGCATCACCTCGATTTCCAGCTGACTTGGGAGGGACTCTGCAAGTCTGTATCTAACAGTTTTGGCTTAGATAGAAAAATTTTAAAAACAAGAGTTTGAGGAATTAATGACTAGTTTTAGCCTTGGTTCACACACTCTGCATATTTACATAGTCTCTGACTTGTAATGTACCCCAACTGGGATGTGATCCCTTAGGAACTTAGTAGCCTGAGTCTCCAACAAGATTACACTGCTCAGGACTATGGCCATTCTCAAAGTGAGAACTCAGGAATCTTTAAGAAGAAATCAAACATGTTTCTGGAAAAGGAAATCTACGGAGTATGACAGGGAAATTCCGATGGGAACTTGTCTCCCTCTGTCACATATCTTGAGGGTCCTTCCATATTAAGAGTCCACCCTTGTGCCGCCATGCCCAGTCCTGTGCACTCCTAAGGTTCCAGTCAAAGATGGCACAGGAAATACTCCAGCCATGTGCCTTCTCACGGGCTATTTATTGTACATGTAGAAAATCACAGGAAAGCAGTTTTGCACCAACTTTATTCCTGTCCCTTGTTTTCTTCTTGCTCTTTTCCCCCCTACACCTAATTTATATTTTCTTATATATTATGTATCCATTAAAATCGCTTTAAATGCTTCTTGGGAACAATATCATATTAGTCCGTTTCTGTTGCTTATGACAGAATACCTGAAACTGGGTAATTTATAAAGAAATATAATTTTTTTCATACAGGTTTGGAGGCTTGGAAGTCCAAAGTCCAGGAAATACATATGGTGAGGGCCTTGGTGGTGGTGGTGACTCTACAGTGATGCACAGTGTCACATGGTGGATGGCTGAGCAAGAGATAAAGTAACTCTTCACTTGCTCTCCTTTTAAATCCATTGGAACTATACCCATTACTTCATGAATGGGTCAGTCCATTCACAAGGACATAGTACTCACAATCCAATCACCTCTTCAAGGCCCCATCTTTCAAATACAGTAATAGGACTTCCCACCCTCTTAAAGGGGGAATGAGTTTTAATGAGTCTTGGGGGTACATTCAGTCTACAGCAAACACAGTATATAAATAAAAAAGAAAACATACAGGGCTAAAGTTTTTGCCCCAAATAAACACATCTTTCTACTTTAGTGCATTTGATTGAATTAAGCCTCCTACCCCACTAGAGCTCAGAGAAGAACCAAGGCTTTTTAGGTAGTCCTGGAGCTACCATTCTCCTGGCACTACTCAGCCTTTCAGAGTTGAGATTTCCAAGCAGAAGCATCCAGGCAGGTATTGCCACTCAGAGAGCCCTAGGAGAAAAGGGCTTTGCCCTCTTCCACCCCCTTCCATTTTCCCCAGCCCCTTCGGTGGCTTCATAAATCCAATTGTGCTTGATGTAGAGACCTTCCCTGAGCAGATTGGAAGGAAATGGCCTAAGCAGAGGTGTGTGTGTGTTCCTCAATAGTATCCATATGTATATGACTTTAAGCTCAATTTAGATCCTGTTGTATTGACATTAATTTTTTCCCTACTCATTAATTTAATTACATGTGGAGAAAATAGGTTAAATGCCTGTATTGGGCAAAGGTTTCTTTGTGATTTTTGATATCCATATGTAACTGGGCCTATATTAGCAAAATAGAAAAAAAGATTTTTAACAGATAATGTAGCCAGGAAACCACTTTGTCTCAGTGGAACTGAGACTTTCCTCCAGGGCCCAGGAATACCTGGATAGCTGAGGGACACCAACAGGAGGATTCCTCACATCTCTCCCTCACCAAGCGATATGTGGCAGCCCAGCCAGAGAAAGTTCCCCCTACCCTCTCAGGCAGGACCAATAAAGGCCAGTGGGAGCCCCAGCAGCGCCGGATAAACCGAGCAGACCACAATAACACTACAAGGGCTCTGAAAATTAAATTGCCATTGGAACCGCAGCCCACCAAAGTAGGCTAAGACCTGTATGCTAAACCTGTACAGAGACTTCCTGTAAAATAGAATATTTGAATAGGTCTCAGAGTCTCCTAACATAATAGATAAATGTCCAGAATACAAACCAAGAACCAGAAAATCATAACTTGAGTGAAAAAACCAACTGATGCCAACACTGAGATGAATCAGATGTTGGAATTATCTGATAATGTTAAGGCAGACATTACAAAAATGCTACAACAATCAATTACAAATTCTCTTGAAAGAAATGAAAAAATAGAAAATAATAGAAGTTGTATAAAAAGAGATGGAAATTATACAATTGAAAAATACAATAAATTTCCTCTCGCCATGTGATCTGCTCATCCCCTCCAGTTGCTTGCCACTTTCTGCCATGAGTAAAAGCAGCCTGAGGCCTGTGCCAGACGCAGCTCTCCAAGAATCGTGAGCCAAATAAACCTCTGTTCTTCATAGAAAAAAAGAAAAAGAAAAATACAATAAACTTAAAACTCACTGGATAGGCTCAACGGTATACCAGAGAGATGGAGATAGAATCCATGAACTTTAAGACAGAACAATAAAATTCACTCAATCTGGGCAATGTAGAGAAAATAGACTGGAAAAAATGAACAAGAGACTCAGGGACGTGTGGGACAATAACAAAATATCTAACAGTATCATTGGAGTTAAAGAAAGAAGGGGC